GACCCACATAGACCGGGCCACAGTCACTGCGAGCTGAGGACATGAACTGGTTGGTCGTCTTCGACGAATTGTGATAAAATGCAGGATCGCTCGTATCAGGTTAAACAAGAGAGTGGACACATAGGAGGTATGCGAAATGATGTTAGTAGGAAAACTCAGTGACACCGCACTGCATCGTTCTTTGAAACTGAGCCATCTACGTTGTCTATGCAATGCACTCCCAAAGTGGTCAACCGCTTACCCCGGCATACGGTGTATACCAAGGTGTTCGTTCGATTACGCTGCGAAAGGGAAGTTTCTGTTAGGCAGCGGGCCAACCACAATAATAGTTCGAGAGCTTTGCACCAGGTACGATGTAATGGCAGGGTAGATGGATTGCGTGCGTTCCATCCGGTCCACTATTCCTTTTTCCTTGAATTTCTATCTGTATGGATGCATTCTAGTCCCTCCCGACTACCCAAGTTGTGAGTCACTCTAAACGTAAGAACATGGATCACGATAAATGGGTCCGACCACCCCATTCGCTGCTGAAATCACGGTTGATGGACAAAAGCAAATAAATAAATAAATAAATAAATAAACGGTTCAACCATGACAGTGCGAGACAGAGTCCAACTGAGTTGTCTGATTAATATGACGCATACAGATAAAGATGTCGGCCAACAGTACACCACAAACCCTCACAATGAGGTTATCAATTGGGTGTGCAGTCGAATAATGTGGCACCACAGAGATGGCGTGAATACACCAAAAGTATCCGGTCTGGCAGTGCGAATGGAATGGAGCACGAGCGTGGACTCTGACCACGCACTTGTATGTGCCGACCTCCTGGTGCGTTTCGGTGGACGTCCGCAACGTTGATGTGAACGGATTGACACTAGCCAGCTGGCGAAGCCAGATGTTCTGAATGTGTACCAAGATGCGCTGACATCTGGGCTGAGTAAGCGCCCACTAAACACCGTTGAAGATCACTGGTCGCACACTCGTCAAGCGTTGCTATTAGCAGGCATGTCTTCATGTGGCAAAACAAATTGCAAAACCGGACATTGGGTTTCTACACAGTCTCTGGAACTTATGGATGCTCGCCGACGTATTCCGGCTGGAAGCGAATACAATGAAGCTCGCAAAAATCTCAGGGCGAAACTACGTGCTAGCCTAAAGAAGGACCGCGAAACCTGGTGGTCTCATCGTGCCTCTGAGATGGAAACAGCCGCTGCCATTGGTAATCATCGTAAGTTATACCGTCTGATACGGGCAACAGGCAGCAGGAGACCTGGTGTTAGCGAGACCATACGCGACGAGAGTGGGCAGCCGATCCACAGCCTGTCAAAACGCTTGGAACGTTGGGCTGAACACTTTGCTATGCAATTTAACCAACCTGAGTTATCACTTTTTTCGGGCATTGAGCGCCCTTCTCCTTGGGCCGTCTCCTTGGATCCGCCCTCACGCGCAGAAGTCGAACGTGAGATCAGGCTGTTGAAATTGCATAAGGCCGCAGGAGCAGATACTATTCCTCCAGCCCTCTTCAAGTTCGGTGGACCTGCTCTAATAGGTGATCTACACGAGTTGCTAGTAAAACTTTGGGAGCAGGAGACAGTCCCGACAGACTGGAACCGCTCCGTCATTGTCCCAATTTTCAAGGGAGGCTCCCGTTTGGTATGTGGCAATCATAGAGGGATCAGTCTGATTTCCATTGCCTCTAAATTGCTTGCCTCTCTCATTCTCCACAGACTGACTGGCACTCGTGAAAGCCAAATTCGTGAAGAGCAAGCCGGATTTCGTCGAGGTCGGGGCTGCATCGACCACATCTTCACATTGCGTCAAGTGTTGGAGCACCGCCATGTTTATTGGCGACCCACTGTTGTCGTGTTTCTTGACATAAAAGGTGCCTTCGACTCAGTCGATCGATGTGCCCTTTGGGACTGTCTGTTGAGGAAAGGTGTGTCTGATAAATATGTAAACATTATCAAAGCGCTGTACGCACATAGTTCGGGCAGGGTGAGGGTTTATGGCAAACTCTCGCCACCCTTCAGTATCACCAGCGGTGTGAGACAAGGATGCCCGCTGTCACCTTTCCTCTTCAACTTCGCTATTGATGAAGTCATGGAAACAGCGTTCGCTGGACACGACCTAGAAGGTGTGGAGCTACTCCCTGGTGAGCGACTTCTTGACTTGGAGTATGCAGACGATATTGCCCTAATCTGTGACGGCTCCCAAACATGCCAAACAGCACTGAACCGATTAGCACTGGCTGTCAGTCGTTTTGGGCTATGCTTTGCTCCATCAAAATGCAAAGTACTTCTCCAAGATTGGCAGGGACCCAATCCTGCGCTAACGCTTGGTGGTGATCTGCTAGAAGTCGTTCAGGAATTCAAGTACCTGGGCAGCTATATTAGCACCCGTGGGATTGAAGATGAGGTTACGAACCGTATAGCAAAAGCTCGAGGTGCTTTTGCCAATCTCCGCCACCTGTGGCGCAGACGCGACATTCGCCCTCAAGGGCAGAGTTTACAACGCAGCCGTCCGTTCAACTCTCCTATATGGCTGTGAAACCTGGCCCATCAGGTCGACAGACATGAAGAGACTCGTCACGTTCGATCATCGCTGCCTTCGCAGCTTAGCTCATGTCTGGTGGGAACACCGCATGAGCAATGAGCGTGTTCGACGTCGCGTATTTGGTGCAGGAAGAGCGAGTGAACCGCTCAGCACGATTATATCACGCACCAGGCTCCGATGGCTGGGCCACGTCTTGCGCATGCCAGCACACCGACTCCCACGACGTGCATTGTTTGCGCGTTGTGGGTGCGGTTGGAAGAGGAGGAGGGGAGGCCAAGTGATGACTTGGTCGCGAGAAATGAAAACCCTCACTTCGAAGTTGGCGTCGGTTGGTGCATCCCGACTGCCTGGCTGGGGTCCTAAGGACGGTGAACACGTTTGGCTGGACACACTTGCTGATATGGCTAGGAGCCGGCCCCAATGGCGTTTGTGTTGTGAGTTCCTTTGTCCATCCCCCTCCTGTTTAGCATCCCCCTCCAATCACGATCTCAATCGTTAGGCATAATATGACTTTCTTTTACGGCAGCCAGCTGTTAGCTCTCCGGAACGATGTCCATCCGTTACTGGGGACTCAGCGGGCGTGCCACTGTTTGCTTTTTCTTTTCTTGCCTTTTGTATTGCGGCACAATAGCTGAGGTGTTTTCCACCTCCAGCTAACGTGTAATGATGATGATGATGATGATCGTCCCTAATCACCGAAGCCGTTTGCGTCTCACTGTTGTGTAGCCTTGTGGGCATCATACGGTGACAGGATTAAAGGATGACGTAAAAGCAAACTGCTTCATGCATACACATTGTGTACATGCGTACCAGACGAAGTCGTGTTCAAATGCTCAGTACAAGTCCAACTTCTTGGAAACGTTTTCGTTATTGACCCATCTCAAGTTGAGCAGCGCAGTGGCACGCTTGGGGTGAGCAAACATTAGATTTGTGTCGACTTCAGGTACCATTCACAACATAAGACTGAAGGAAATTTAATTCGAAGTAAACCACAGTCCAGATTGAACATGAGGGACATGTTGCGTACCTAGTATGCACACCAAATTTAAGGGCCTAGCCTGGGCTGTTCGGGTTACCATTGCGATAGTCACTAAACTGACTCCGACATGCAAATGGTGCAAAGTTCAAGTGGCACCTTAGTGAACCCCGCGTATCATCCCCACCACGGAATTAGAGAAGAGTGAACAAACAGCAACATCACAGTATACTTTAAGCTCAATTCCTTTGTCGAATATCCCTGCTCACGGACCATTCTCCGAAACGTCTCACGGTGTCAGCACGCTAAGCAAGTACGAGTTACTGCTGCATGATAACGCCCAAGAACCAGTGTGTCGGTGGAAGGAGGAATTCTGTTAATCAAACTTCCTGATATGATGTCCAGATGCGCTGCCCAATGTACTTAGGTCGTTAAGCTTTTATAGCTTTGCTGCGCCTGAAAATGTGGCAAATACGCTCATGTGAGCAACGTACAGCCATTGTACCACGGTTAGCACGCCTAGAAAACCTAATGCAATCCTTTTGCCTGCTTCAAAATGTGTTAACTAACAAGGTAGTTGAAGCTCAGGACAAACGCCTATCAGGCACAAAATACTCCGTGTCGATGTACGTGATATCCGGTAACTGTCAGCTTGTGAAGGAAATTTGAGGAGAAAAGTGTAGTGAAGCGCTGAAAATGTCAATATGCTGTTCCCCTAGCTGTTTAGTCATTTAGCATCTGAAGCGTTTACAGCAAAAATGCTTAGTGCCACAGCCAACAAACACCCGCATCAATCAGATCGTTGTAGAGTGAAGCCAGATATTGGGATTCTGTGTCAGCCGCTTGTCGTCAGTAAGTATTGACTGCTCTTTGTGGGGCGATAAGGTAGACAGCCACTGACCATAGTGTGTCGCACTGGCCGCCTTTAGGCATATTGGGCCCATGCTCTAGGAAGTCAGTTAATGTTCCGTTGACTTATGAGGATAACACCGAGCCTCACTCCTAATGGTCCGGCTATGATCGTAACTCAGAGATCCATGTGTTGAAAAGGCCGAAGCACCGGGAGAAAGTTCGCATCCTGATAGTAATAATATCCCCGTATCTAAGTGAACAAGATAGTAGCCTGAGGACATGGTAAAGTTAGTAGTTCTTTGGTTTGATGGAACAAATTCAGTGCGCAAAGTCACTACTTTTATCATCAACTCTCAGGAAAACGGGAAAGAGGTGGCAAAATTGTGACGGGGTACTCTGAACCCCAATTTTAGCGTCCAGAGAATGTCCGATTGAGTCAGACTGATTCAATGGGTGAAGTAAGGGTGATGTAACAGTAATATGGCAGGACATTCCACTGAGGCCGAGGTGCCGGCAGAATAGCGACCAAACGGTCAATCATCAAGTCATCCAGATAACCGTAACGGATAGTCAAGCGAACAAAAGTAAATACTACATGCGTGTAAAAATTAATCACCTTCGATCCCTCCTCCGTACTGCATGCTATTCCGTCGGCTTTGTACACATCGGGAGGGCACCATTGTGTTAGACCATCACAATACTCTGGGAGATCACAAGTGCTTGTTACATTTCGGCAAATGGTACCGGCATCTGCCAGTCGACAGTGAAAATGGACGGATGGCGAAGAATCCGTGCGTCGCTCCACTTGGCAACAGGGCCCTCCTGCGCAGGTCGAAGATGACTTGAGCATACATCGGGTGACATCACAACAGTCTTGTAGCTCCTGAGGGCACGACAGACTGAAATCAACAAAATGCAAGGATGTCCGACGTAATTGTTGCCTTCTGTTACAAATCCCTACATGAAGTGGCACCAAGCGACGGTGCCAATTGCAAGGAGTCATGTATTAGACCGGTAGCGCTGTGTAGAACTGAACTGTATCTGGTATAACTTATACTGATAGCCAAGGTGTAAGTCAATGGCTACGGTTCATCAGGAACCTGCAAATATGGTAGAAAGGAGACCAATACGAGCCTCACGGTTAATTTCACTGAGCTATGGCTGTGGTTTGCATTGGGAAATTGAGCACGGATGGCACATCGGACTGTATTGGGACCGGTTGGAAATGAGACAAGTCACTTTGATGCGGGGAACGCTAGTTGAAACCTCGGATATAAAAGGGAAATGAATGAAATCAACAGGTAACAGGCAGCGAAAGAGACTGTATACTCAGGTCACACCGTAATGTTCGTTCCATGAATTGGCATCTCCAAAGCTAACGAAGCGCCAGCTGTGAGGGCGATGCGCATATCAAAGGGGCTCAACATTGGTGTGAGACTGAATAACGATGACGACGATTGCACTCAGCCATAATTCATTTCGCCGTCGTTGCAATGTAGTTCACTCTGTATATTTATTACCGTAAAAAAATTCGACTATGGCCATAGATGAAACGTAGCGAGGATAAGGCTGAACACAAATTGCACACAGGGTGGTTGTTCTCTGATCCGGTCCATGACTGAATTTAACAGGACAATTGATCGCCTTCAGCAGTGGGATAGCAGTGCCTTCTAGTAATGTGCAGACGTTTCGAGCAGTATAATGCGAGTCCTTTAACAAGGTGAACTCGCCGAGGTGGTTTATTTTGACCTTCCCGAATTGGAGAAGCACCCAAATCCAGAAGGATGGCTGATGAACACACGCCACCCACTAACCTCACAAGTGATGACACTGGAAAATGCAATACACACAGGTCGCTTGTCTATTTAATGAAATCGTATTATACGATACAACAAATGCGTTAGCCCTTACGATTGACTCACCTTCTGCCATGTATACAGTGAGACAAGGGTTCATTATCCCGATGTGAAACAGATAGATGTACTAGCTATGCCGTGAAGTAGTGGGTAGCATATGTGTTAATCAGTCATCCTTATATATATATATATATATATATATATATATATACTTGGTTGGCGGCATCCGGTTTCGGATTTGCCTGTCACTGTGGCCAGCCACAGGACACCTGCGCCTACAGAGGGACCATGGATGGCTTGCGCTGCACCACCCACAGCTCCAACCACACATCCCATATCCAGTGTAAGCCCGAGGGAATAAGACCGGGAGGCATGCGGATGGGAGCCACGTTTCATCAACGGAGCCGGCCCACACTCCTTCACAGGCAGACACAAGCACGCTGTATTTGGGGAATCAACCGCACACAAGGCGGTGGCTGGACCGTAGTCCGCTCCACACTGAGTGCATGGAACCGCTCTTCGAGCCTAGCATGGCCACAAGAACCGTGCACCCCGTCCCCTCCAGCAACGACCAACTGTCTCCTGGAGCCAGTATGAACGAGGTAGTGGGTAATAGACAGGTAGGCACCTTGTCAACATGCACCTCAAGCGCAGTCACACCGGGGGTACCAAGCAACAGCCAATCACCTGAAACGACAAGATGAAATAAAACAAATCCAATAATGTTACACATACGGTGGCATAACTCTTCTCTAAATTAGCATTTGAAGTAAGTTAGTTAGCAACGAACCCGCGATAAGGAAAAAGTGTCCACAAGTTCCAGACCAGGGATATCAAGCAACAATCAATCACTTGAGAGGAAGCTAACAAAGAAAAGAAATTGAGTAATGCATAAGAAAACGTGAAAAAATCTTAAATTAATGAGCATATGAAATAAGTTGTTAACAAAGGATCCTAGATAAGTTCAGGGGTTCAGAAAGTATATTTTACGGAAATGACAGAAACACAAAAATGTTATCGAAATTAACTACAATTGGCTTAAGCGAGTTGTGCAGGTTTATAGAAGAACGTACGTGTGGACATTTATTTGAGAAAGAAAAGCATTAGGACAAAATTGAAAACCCACCACCTGAAATAAAGAGACTTAGCATGCAAGCACGCGGTTAGTAAATCGAATCGATATATATATATATATATATATATATATATATATACATATATGTCGAGAGAGAGAGAGAGCAGAAGGGAGGTCCCATATCAGCTACTTCTCTTCCCGGTCCTCGATGGATTGCAGGTGTGGTTGTTGTGGCATCGCTCAGGATGAGATAGTATCAACCCTGCAGGATCCTGGAGTGCCCAGTACGCTGTCCGCAAGAGGGAACAAAAAGTGTCCGTTGGAGCTCGCTGAGTGACCAACTTTTGTGCCCCTGGCCGTCCCAATTGGACACTTTTGGTCACACAGCATGTTTTCTTACAACACACCCTTACCATGTAACGCGACTGCATTTTTCCTGGTTGCAAATACCGCCAACATTAAGCGGAAAGCGATTCCGAAATTGTAATTATGCCGTTGTAATAACCGTTAGACTAAACCGAAAATGTCTGTAAGTGACCGAAATTCACCGTAAGTGGAAAACATTTAGGACGCTTTTTGGTCACTCAATGCATTTTTCAGACGCTCCCTTACCAAATAGCGTGAATGAAATTTTTGGTTGCATATAGCGCCAAGATTGAGCAGAAATTGATTCCTAACTTGTAAGTACGTAATATATATATATATATATATATATATATATATATATATATACGAAGAGCCAACGAATTAGCCAAACGGTGGATCGGTAAGGTGAAATTCGCACGAAAGAGAAGTAGGCCATCCTTACGCTTATCACCCATGTTTTCGTTGGAATGCCTTGCACCTTGCAAGCTAAATCTACCTGCCGGACTTGCGTGATAAAAAACCCATCTCCATTGATGCCTCATCGTCAGGTCGCTTTGGGGGTAACTCCCCGTCTCTGTCAGTGTGTGTGTCTACATGTGATGATTTCAACCGCGCCTTTTTCACCTGCTCAAGTAGGCATTGCGCACTGGCTGCACGCGTTACATGTTACAGGTAAGTCAATCAGTTCGTCTCTCGTCCATCAATTCCACTCTGTTTTCTCCTTACCTGGCAAAGGTGATGAGTCTACGTCCATGACCCCACACCAGCCTCACCACCTTCAGCCCCCATGACATTCGACCGACACTAGCAGTCACGTGTGACTCAGGTTTTGCGAATGGTCCAAACTAATGTGCCTAGTTTGGACTAAGCATCAGAGGTGATTGTGTTTGCCCGAACACGCAGGCCTCCTGTGGCAGTTCACAGTTTCAGCGACACGCAAATCCGGAAACGTATGCCGCCAAACAACACGGGCCATATCGCCCATATTAGGTCCTCGAGACGTAAAAGATCATCACGACATAGCGTAACTGCTATCTTAGGAAACGGATTCGATATTATTCTGCCTTGGAGACGAATAGTGGAGTGTTTCAAATTAATGACAAATGCCACACCCAGCGAGCTCAAGTGCTATAGTGATAAAAGAGTTCCGTACTGCTCTACGGTGTGTGCGTGTGTGTGCTACGGTAAGGCAGCCTGATGCGCCTGTTTCGATGATGTCAAGCGTGCACCATTAGAAGCAGCGACGTCATCTGTAGCTTGTACCCATGTTTGACGCGGCGCAACCATTTGCAAATGAAAGAACAAGTGAGGAAACCGAAGGAACGGGGAGAGTGGATAGTCGTTCAGGTGTCAGTTAAACGTCTCGTTAAAGGAGCAATGAAAAACAGCTGTGTTAAACAAGTAATTGGGAAGCGATGACGCCTTCACGCCTAGTGGAAAGTAAGTGCACCATCGAGACCGGCAGTTCTGTAGTGGGAGTAGGCAGTAGTATAAATGGTCGTGGGCACACACTGATTTAATAGGAAGTTAAACGGGCCACCGGTGGAGGCAAACATTGTCAACGTCGTCAGGAAAATCGATGAATTCTATGGTGCCCAAATATTCGGGTTTGCTTAGGAGCACCCAGCAGTGACGTTTAGTTGTATCGGTTACGCAGTAAGACTTCATAATCACACAAAGGCGTAAATGGGAAAGCATTGTCGGACACCTGGCTGTCCAAGGTGGAATGCAAAAATTGGATACAAACATGGAGAAGTCTCACCGTGTCCCGCAATCGCACTCCTCACCCGGATCCAAAACTCCATTACCACATAAACCGGTGGCCGCAGAGAGAGCCCGGTTGGAACGGAAAGCTCGAATGGCTGACACAGCGCTCGCTTCTTTCTGCCAATCGTACACTTGGACGACAGAGTGCGCTAAGGGGGGGTTGGGAGCGCGGCGGTGAACAGGGGAGGCAGCGGTGAGCATCGGCTGAAGTGCAGCGCCAGGAAGGGAGACAGCACTGTTCTGGGGAACGTCGTGCAAGCAGAATCCCATACCGTATTGCAGCAGGACGGGCAAATCACGCACCGAACATGGGGACCACTCCATTCGGTTGTTGCCGAATCTGAAGGTACGTTGAGAGGTAAGGTGAACGAACATCATCAACAGTACACATTAACTGAAGGTGAGAAACACTCGTGGACGAACAGAGGGCATACAAAGGAGACAACACGGAACTAATTCAGCATTCGCCCGTCAGATGGGCAAAATAGTGGAAGTTGTGAACAGCATGCATTACGAAGTTAAGATAGGCCATACAAATACGACAGCACAGAACATATGCTGGCTGCATATGATAAAAACGAAGTGACCATACAAGTCCATGAGCGACGCAAACGATTGGGTGCTAAGAACCGGTCCGTTTGCATAGAAAACATGTGTGTGGCTTTCAACACCCATGCTGCCTATGGAGGCGGCGCGACGTCACAAGTCAAGTGTACGGCACACGGCAGCCCAACGAGGCTAGTGTAATTGTATGTGCCGGGGACATAACCCTAGGTGTTGAAGACACGGGGGAACTGTTTCTATGTATGGCGGGAGTATAGGGTAGGTAAGATTGAAGCCGATGACCGGTGGTTGAAAATAGATCTGCATTTAGACTCTAAACCGTACGTTTGTGTTAGGCCAATCATGCGGGTTTGATCGGTCTATGTATATTTATCAAATGACCACAAGGACGCATGATTGACAATAGCGTGCCAGTTTGGACTCAGCTGAGGTGACCAAAAGAAGAAATGACTTAGGGAAATGAGGGAAGCGAGCAAAACAAATGACCCTACTAGAGCGTGCTGGGATCCAGAAGCGAGAAGAAAAGGTCGAAGGAAATCGTGCCAAATATGTGCGATTTAAACACTGTCCCTTACAGCCATATCGAGAACAGCACAAACTCGTCTTTTCGTCCCATAAAAGTTAGACGCTGCCATAGCGCAGTGAATCAGAACAAATGCAACCTATTCGGTTGCATGCTGTTGAAGTAACCGACAAAAAGGGTACGTTTTTTATCCGCGTAAACTCATATACGACAGTGCAAACCCCCCGTCAAGGCTGGCGGATGATTTGTGCGGTTCGAATCCGCGTAGAGGCGGGCGTTCTCGCTGTATACTCAGCCCGCGTGCGACTGCTGATGGTCGCGCGGTAGCAAAGCTGCGTTGCGGCCTATATCTGACGATTTTTAGTTGGCCCCAAGCCTAAATGTAACAACCTTGTCTCGCAATCTGATGGCGCGGGTTCCAGCCTGCGTAGGAGCAGGGAGATCCACACAACATCCTTAGCCCACGTGCAACCGGTGCTGGTTGCCCGGCACAAATAGTCGGTACTGCGTACCAGCGTAATGCTGATGCCACTTTTCCGTCACGACGAGCCTTGTGGTGTGACGGTTTGCGTACCTCATCGATCCATTGGGTTAGATGGAGCCCTTGGGCCTCTTAAGAACCACTCCTACCAGGTTGGGCAATGGTTAGAGGTCAGACGAACTCCGTCTCCTGGTCCACCAGGTTGGGGGTTTGAAATCCGGAGACGCTGATTCAGAAACCACTGGTCAAATTGGAGTGGGCACTGTTCTCAGCTCCAAGGCTGAGCCATTGTTGGTTGATTGGTTTCACGTGAACAGCCGTTAGTGTGTTGTTCGTTTGGTGACACCAACTGGGTTGATTCACGGAGTGGCACTAGGCGCTGTTTGTTTGACGTTTCCACTTATACACCCACCGATTGCACCTCTGATGCTGCGAAGGACGCTTTCTACCACGAACTGAACATGCTAAAACGCAATGTTACCAGTTCTGAAATCATAGTTCTTGCAGGGGATATGAATGCGCAGGTAGATTGTCTGAGTTCTTTAGAAGCTCAGCTAGGTAGTATGGGCTTAACTCCAAACGGACGGACAATAGTGAGCGTCTGTTACAGATGCGCGCGGTGCACCATCTATTGCTTAGTAGGGCCGCTTTCAAACACAGTGGGCGCCCAAGTGCCACTTAGCGTCCTCCTGTAGCTGCCCACCGATGGACCTAAATAGATCACTTTGCCATAAGTGGCGTAATTTCATTCTGGATTGTCGCTTGTACTGAAATATCTGTGTCGACTCTGATCATGACTGCGTACGCAGTCGTTTTTCCATGACCATTACTGGAGGCGTACCAAGCACCTCCCTCGACTGACAACTGCAGCGTTATCTCATCCTTCGGTCAGACAAGCCTACCAGGATGTCTTGCCCACCGAACGCTCGCTCACTTAACCTAATGACTCTGAGTTTTAATGGATTAGGATCTCGGCCGCTATGCACCATGCGGGAGCCTCCACTTGCGGTACTATTAATCGGCACCGTATCAGCCAGTGGATATCCGAGGTCTGCGAACCTGTTAGAATCCAGAAAACTCCCGACTGGCTCTCAGCACAAGGTAACCAGATGGATTAACAGGCGCGAATTAAAGCGAAGCTTGCGTGCTGTCAAGGAAGCCTGGTAGACCAGTCGGGTTCAAGAAATGGAGAAAGAAGGAGCAGTAGTCAATTATTGCAAGCTCTTCCACCTGAAACGAACCAATCGTCCCAGAAAACCAGGCGTCCGTGAAACAATCAGAGCCAGCGCGGGTGCACTGGTTCAAAATAAGGGGCGCCGAATGGCTCGGTTGGTGGAATATAGAATAGTCCAGTTGTCTCGCTGCTTCTGGACCTCTTCTTACTCAAGTGTCGCAGGTTAAACCAGTTTGTTTAGATACTCCGTCAGAGACTGAGGTCCGAAACTTGATCACAGCCCTAATCGTTTTTGTGCTGCTGGCCCGGATTCGCTCGCATCCGCACTATTTAAGGAAGGTGGATAAGTCTTCTGCAGAGCACTGACCTGCCTGTTCGAACAGGTCTGGAAGACACAGACCATCCAAGTGAATTGAAGTGAAACAATTAGTGGCGATATACAAGGAAGGCAATCGCACCGACTGTGCTAACCACAGGGGCATTAGCTTAACGCCTGTGGTGATAAAATTACTGGCCTCAATTCTCCTTTGTCGCCTCAATGCGGAGCGAGAATCACGGATTAGGAAAGAGCAGACAGGCTTCCGCCCAGGACGTGGCTGTATAGACCCCATATTCGTTCTGCGGCAGCTGCTAGAGCAGCGCCACACACACCACAGGCCGACAATAGCTGAATTCCTCGATTTCAAGAGTGTGTTCGATTCAGTCGGCCGATTCATTCTGTTCGAAATATTTACGCAGAAAAGCATTCCCATGAAATATGTGAACATTTTATGTGCTCCATACTCGAATACCACAGGCCGCGCTAGCGTCGACAGTAATTTGTCTGATGTTTTTCCGACAGAAGGTGGCATTCGTCAGAGCTGTCCATGTTTCCCACTTTTGTTCAACTTCGTCGTGGACTGTATCATAGAGTTTGCCTTGCGGAGCCTTATGATGCCCACGTCGAGATGCTGCCTGGAGAGAACCTAGTTGACGTTGATTACGTGGACGGTATTGCCTTGCTTTGAAAAGATGTTGAGGCGACACAATCAACCCTGAATAGCCTTCAAGATAGGTGCCATCATTTGGCATGCGATGGGCACCTTCAGAGCGCAAAGTGTTGCTGCGGGACCACCAGCAACTTGGTGCCCCGTTGACCCTTGATGGCGAAAAGCTCGAAGTAGTTGAGTTAGACCCAGTAGACAGACAGAAACTCAAGTCTGCGATGACTGAACTAAAGCGACGCACGGATGATGGAGAAACAAGTCTCCGTATGGTAAATTTTCGGGTAGGTACCCGGATTCGCGGAGGAATCCGGATCAACAGGATTCTGATGCTTCAGGCGCACCCAGAGGTTCCTACCGCAGCCTGTGCATAACCTTTACTAACATTTGCAATCTGATGAACAAGCGCGAGGAGCTGTACTACTTTGTGAGCTCTAAGCGACCAGACGTATTAGGCCTTGCTGAGACATGGTTAAACTCCGACGTAACCGCCCAAGAAGTAGAAATCAGCGGCTACTCATGCTTCCGCTGTGATAGACCATCAAATAATCGTGGTGGCGTTCTGCTTTGCATAAAGTCTTCTTTGTGTGGGAGACTAGTGAGCGCCTACCGAAGCGCTGATGGTCTATATGAGCAGTTATGGTGTTCGATCTACCTCAGACGCTGCGAGATGGTCGCAAGCGTGGTACATCGCAGTCCACTGTGCCGCTGCTTGGACTGGTTGCCGCATGTCCGCAACCACATGAGTCGGCAGCTGTTCCTACCCATGGGTGATTTCAACTTACCCGGAATACAGTGGCGTGAGGCTAAACTTCTCCCCGGCCATTGTGAAGTAGAGAGGAAGTTTACGGAGTTGATATTTGAAACCGGGGCCACACAGCACATCAACCAACCGACACGCATAACTGCGCGCACGACTCCATCGTGCTTAGACCTGCTTCTGACCAGTTGTGAGCAACATGTGCATGACATTCAAATCTTAGAGCATCTGGAAGTGAGTGACCACTCGATGATTATAGCCAGCTTGGGACTGCCGCTGCCGTATTCTCCCTCGCTGGAGCTCGCCTTCAATTATTGGAAGGCGGACTTTAATGGCCTCACTCGAGCAGCGCGACAGATGGACGGGGCTTTACCAGAGAATTCGGCTATTGAAACCTGTTGGATTATCATTAAAGAGGGAGTGAAATTGTTGTGCGCCCCATTTGTACCCCTCAAGTATCGGAAAGTTGGGCCAGTCAAACCACATTGGTTCGACAAATAGTACAACAAACTGGCCCGACGATGATGTAGACTATGAAACGAATTCATGTTAGCTGGATATGATGAGGACTACAAGGCGTACAAGGTACAGCGAAATTGCAACAACGCGAAAACAAAAAAACGTAGAAGCTTCGAAGAGCAGCTTTCAATCGCCGCAAAAACTGCTCCCAAGAGGATCTTCGCCTACCTGAAGCGGCCCCTGAGGCCTGCAGGCAATGTTCCAGTGTTGGAAAGCTCCGAAGAACAGCCTTTAACCTCGAGCAAAGATCGTGCTTCCGCATTGGTGGCACACTTCGCTTCCGTGTTTGCAAGTGACCAGGTGTCTATGTCAAGTTCGACGAGTACCGCTCCCACTGAACTAGACAGTCTAGACTGCAGCATTGAAGATGTACGCAAGCTTCTAGAAAGTTTTGACGGGACGAAGCCTGCTAGGCCAGATGGAATCCACCCACTGATTCTCAAGTCCCTATCGACCATCATCTCGCCTTCTGTAACTGAGCTGTTCAACAGGTCATTATCCACTGGAATATCACCGGGCGACTGGAAATGCTCAGTCGTAAAGCCAATACCGGAAGGTGGTAACCCAAGCAAAATGGATAACTACCGGCCGATCTGCCTGACCGCTGTTCTGGCAAAGACGCTCAAGAAGATCGTGAAGAGGAGCCTTCTGCAGCTTCTTGAGTCGAAAAGGCACTTGACCCCCGCACAGCATGGTTTCGTGAAAGGTCGCTCATGCATCACCAACCTACTGTTGACGAGGCACGAATGGTTACAAGCGCTGAAACAAGGCAAATCGGTGGACGTCATTTACATTGACTTCAGTAAGGCTTTTGACAAGGTAAATCATGCAGTGCTTCTCGACAGGCTGAGGGTGTGCGGTGTTGGTGGCTCGCTGCACCAATGAATCAGGAATTTCCTTGTTGATCGAAAGTGGAGGGTCCAGGTGGACAAGCATTCAACCGACTGGTATCCATCGAGCAGTGGCGTGCCCCAAGGCACTGTACTTGGGCCGATTTCGTTTCTCATCCATGTAAACGATGTGCCTCAGCTACTCCAATCACCTTGTGTATTGTTCGCAGGTGACTTGAAGGTGTGGAGAGTAATCTGCACACCCAATGATCGTGACCTACTTCAGCAGGACCTCGAACGCCTCTCCACGTGGTCTGCAGAGGTCAATCTTCCGACCAACCTGCTCAAGTCGCAATTCATTAGGGCTGAGTAAATGTGAGCACAGTCGAACCTACACCGTGGCTGATCAACAGTTCCATCCCGCACCCTTCGTATGCGACTTCGGTGTACTCTCACGCTACGACCTAAAGTCCATGGACAACACGAATAGGCTGTACCAAAACAGCCTTCGTATGCTTTGGGCGCTCAGGTGCAGCTCCAGCACTTGGTCCGAAGAAATTGCTACTCGCCTCTTCGTCTCAATAATACGACCAATGATAGAGTATGACTCTCCCGCATATTATCCTATCACCCAGAGCGAGGTAGAAAAGATTGAGCGAGTGCAGCATGCAGCCGCCAGGCTGATTCCCAACTTACGAGCTGTGCCGTACGAAGACCGGTGTAAGAAACTAGGGCTGTACACCCTTGCTTATCGTCGAATACGGGTTGACCTCATCATGACGCACCGGATATTACATCTGGGAGATTGCCCCATGTTGAGACCGCTGCTTCATCTGCGCACACCAAGCAGCACACGGGGACAGCGGTACAAGCTTGTCGTACCGGATTTGAAGCGTGTCGCTCACCAACTCTGTTTCGAACGCATAGTGGTGAATGTATGGAACGGTCTGCCACAGCATGTAGTTGAGGCAAAGTCGATGTCGGAATTTGAGAAGTTCCTGGACAAACAGTTTGCCGACGCAAAATATATTGGGCACAACACAACATAACGGGTCTATGTCCCTGAGTGACATTAGATGCAGTTACACAGAGCAAACTCTACTTGCCGCTACCAACCAGTAATCAGTAACCACGTACCCAGGCAACTGTATCAGCAACGATGAGCGCATAACCACTGAAGTCAGTTAACGCATTTCAAAAGACAGTACTGCCTTCTTGAATCTGCGACATCTGTGGCGTCAGAAAGAGGTTTCCCTCCATCTGAAAGGTAGTGTTTACAAGGCCTAAGTGAGGGCTATCATACTGTATGGAAGCGAAACAGGTCCTCCGATCTGAGGATCTGTGGCGCGTTCAAGTCTTTGATCATCGCTATCTGCGGAGCATTGCTGGTGTCGGATAGAACCAGCGTGTCCGTGACGATGATGTGCGTAAGCGAGTAGTTGGTAGTGACAACCCGGCTAGTTTCATAGAAACACAGATAACACTGGCAATACATATTGACTGATTTTATTCAGAATATTAAGTTACTTCGAATAGCTAGGCATACGAAGTAGATACCTACACGAGATTGGATATAATCTAGTGAATTTACCAGCTGAATACTTGAAAAGGAAATGCCTTTTTAGTACTTTGGCAAGTAAACGTGTTGAAATGATGCAATGAAAGAAACAGGTTATTGCGCTCTTTTCACCAGGATTACAGCAGGCGTGTCCTAAATGACACTTTCCGGGTTAAATATTTCAGTTGGCTTATTGTGTCTGAACATAGTTTACAAATTTTGGCTCCAGAATTTGGCAAACAATGCTTGCTAGCATATGTACTACCATGCGCAGTACATATCGTCAATGTGTAGCAGGTGAACCCATTCGACTTGATTTTTCGCCAACATGTAGAACATTTCGTCATTTTGAGCAACATGCTGTAGATCTGTGCAACGTAACCGTTGCACCCTTGTCCGTTTGGACAAGGGGCGACAATGGTGGTAACATTGGATGCACACATCGATGGGATAGCGGAGGACGGATAGCAGGAATGCAACATGGTTATGCTCTGTTGTGCAGTTGTAATACTTCGAAGAAAATGCTATGGTCATGGTTACCATGGTCCGCGTAGTGATAACACTGATAGCCAACGACATTTTTGAAAATGTGGGGGAACGGAAGTGGATATACCGATGAAAAAACAAGGAAAAAGTACTAAGAAACATGCGCAACCATGGGATAGAAACGAAAGTGCATACGAGGTTGCAACTGAGTCACCAGAGAGTCTCTAACCAATGGTGTAGCTGGTCTCTTAAGCCTTACGGAAAGGAGTAGCGTGCACCTTGCAAACTAAACCCGTCGTTTAATCTCTGCATGCCTTGAACCAGTACATCCGTTGATCATGTGTGGTCTCACATGTAAAGGCCAATTATTGGCAAGTGATGTATGCAACAATGTACGTCACAGCGAACATCCAACACTTCACATAAAAGTACAATCAGTTCGAAGCAGAAATCGTCATGTGACAACTGGTGCACATCCCTCGTGGCAATGGAAGATGAGATACATTGCACCAAGTTACTTATCTAGTAGCATCGACTTCCCATATCTGACACGAACCACGGGCATAAACCATTGCCTGACAACACAAAAAGAAAAACCGCGACTTATGCGGAATGTATGGAGTGTGCATGACCAGCGTTTGCTTTGAACAGCTGTGACAGACTCCACTTAATCTAATTTCATCATTTGAAACGATGGCTTCAGATGCTCAAAACAAAGGCGAATACGAAAATAAGGAGGGTGGAGAACTACTTGTAGGTGCGCGTGGTCGATGTAACTGCGAATATTTTTGTTTGCACCAGGCAAAAAGTCAACGCAGACGTGAATATGGGAACCTCATCGCGTCCGTGGCTGTGCCACAGCGGCAGTATGATACACACTCGCCATAGAGTGAACAATACGACAGGGCGCGTATGCGGTCAAACTCACTCCACACCAGTTGCCATAATGCAGCTCTGGCAACTGCATTCTTCCGTGTCGTGCCGCAGACCGAAGTTGTGACCCAGTTCATGTGCCATAGTCCGAGCAGTTTCCATCAGATCCACGCTAGCCGAATCCTGAAACGGGGTGAATAACATACAACCGAGTCGGACGCCGCAGGTTTTAATGCATTTGCGGTATCATTTCAGAAAAGGAATACAAAGCAATAAAGTGGACAAACGCAGCTAGGTACAGTATAAAATGCGCAGGTTGGGTGTGCCAAATGAGGCATGTTATTTTGATGTTTCATTCGGCAACCCACGAGGTGGATGGTGACTGAACAGCCTGTCATAGGGTCATCATCGAAGTTTATGACTAAACACAACACATATCTCTCGACACCTTGGTAGCAGATAAGGACAGTTGAAAGGTGCATGATCTCGCTGGGTGTTCCATCACTCCTTATTTAATTGCTTAAGTGTAAGATTTTCTAACTAAAAGCACCTTGGCAAACATTATAAAGATCCGCACCAACTAGGTTATAACGTATCATTTTTCTCCAAGTGAACGACCGAGTAAAAAAAAGTACCTAGACACATCGGTGAGGGGGGGAAACAGGTAGCTCATTGGCAACAACACTACCGGATGACTTTATGTGTAACTGAAGAAAAGTTAAGAATTGCCACCAAATCAATCCTATATAGTCGCTGCATCGAGCATACTAGTCCTCTAACGTCTCCTGAAGGCAGGATAATGCTACACAGCATCTAGGTCGGACTACATGCGATCCAAGCAGAGCAGTGTGCAAAAAGTGATGACCATGCACTGTAGGTATGCACACTGCTCACTCGGTGGTGTACAGTCAAACGTGATTTTCGGTTCATTATAAACTCCCCTAGTCACAATGCCAGTCCACCAGGACCCAAGTTATATGTGCTACGTGCACCGCAGGAATAAAGTGGGATCAAGATGATGAAGATCAATGGAATCCCGTCCGATTTTATTCGGTGTGGTAGTAATGTGGATAGCAGAGATCTATTGACACCAAATTGGAAAAGGACGACTAACACTGGATCGTTCTACTTGTATCGCGTTCAAGTGCACTGGTGTGTAGTTGAAAAAAGCGCATAGTGTTATGAATCTCCGACGACCTGTGCCAATCTGACATTCTCTGAATGATCCAGAGAACGCAACAGCATCGAAGGAGTGAACGCCTTACTGCCTACATGAATTGACCCGTAACTCTGGACGTAGCCAATTAGGTGCGCCGCTTGATACCATGGCACTAGAATAAACGATCAAGTCCCGTGGTAGTCTTTTGGTTGAACAGAAGATTGGGTACCTAATGCATGCAGCCCAGAAAGCCAGATAAGCTGGGAAATCTCTGAAAACCCCATAGCAAGTGACAAACAAGCAGATCCTAGAGACTCGCTTAAGGGTTTGATGTGTGATGAAGAGTCTCGGCGCCTCAAGTGCACTAGCTAATTAGTCATCGCATGAGCCTAGACTACCCGGTACGTGTAAGCATACACGATAGCTTTGCTTGTGATACGACTCTCATGATTCGCAGTCCTATCATCTCCGTAAAACTTCATGAGTGGTTCCTCAAATACAGTGATACATAAAGAGGATGATTTAACATGAAGCGCCAATTTCATCTTTCTGGTTCGCATATTCCGTTGCCTTTCCGCCAGCGTAAAAGCCACGCTGGGTTCAATTTATCTCATGGACTTAGAACTAGGCGCTTTGGTCAATGTCCTCAAGACCCCAATGCGAGTTGAGTACGAATGAGTAAGCAGCGCCTGATAATCGCTTGCTGCGGATACAGCCCCAGTACGCGAACTGACTACAATTAGCTTCAAAGTAGATCGCGGTCACCATTGAGTATGCATGTTGCAAGCTGTGACGATAAGGTTTGACAGGATACACTTGTTAACATGGCAAGGAGCCGACCTCAGTGGCATTTGTGTTGTTAGGTTCGCTGCCTTTCCCTCTCCTGCTAAGCCTCCCCTTCAAAAAAGATCTCAGGTACTAGGTTTAAGGTAACTTTTTCCCGCAGGGTACGTGGCTGTTAGCTCTCCGGAAGGATTTCCATTCGTTACTGCTGACACAGCCGGCGTGCCTTTGTTGAATGCATTTTTCTTTTCTTATCTAACCCGGCACAATAGCTAAGATGTTTTACATTTGCAGCTAATGAGGTCGCGAGTCGTTCCCACAAACGGCATTTCAAGATGACCTCCAATTATTTCCCGTTGTTAAGACCACTAGCATAGATAAGATGCATGTGCCAACGTAAAACTGAGTCTTCGTGTACAGTGGAGAGTACGGAGGAAGTACAATGGAGCGAGGAGATCGGAAATCCTGGAGGATGAGTGGACGCGAACAGACGCAAGCGCACTGGTAACCCATCGCAAGGTGTACCCAAAAGCGTATTCTGCACTACAAAGATACCAGAAGACACGGTTGTAAAGTGGGCTCTCGAGTCCCACTGCAGAGTACACGTTGCAACATGAGCGAAATCAAGGGTTGCTCGGTGTCACTAGCGAGAGTCGATTGTGTACTTATGCAACATCGAGAAAAGGGCGAGACACTGCACACCTCCTCATCGACTGGCATGTCGTGGATTCGACACCATGAGTTGGAAGCTGCTGGATAGCACATGGGGTTTAGGGTTCAACACGAGGACGATATGATCAGCATTAAAGAGGTACCGTGGAAATACATCATTACAGAGGAGTAGTAGGGGGAGTTGAATGGTATAGGCTGATTTTCGTCACATCTAGACTCACTCAGACAGCCGTCACACGCCCGGAAAGCATTGTACGCGCGTTTCATCCTTTCGGGGATCGTCAGCAGTGCGCATTTCATCAGAATCTGGTAGGACTCGAACCCGCAACTCGACTGTTGTCAGTCCGTAGTTGAGACCACTAAGCTACGGGAGACGGCTACGACCATCGTAAATAAGTTACTATACCATTCAACTCCCCCTACTCCTCCTCTGTAATCAGTACGCAGACCAAACTTCTTATAATGCCATAAGCCAATTGGCGGCTTTAGTTTGGTAAGCTCGTCGCGTGCTGAAGGGGCTACCCAGTCCTCTGCATGGCAGTAACGTGTAAGTCATTGGATAGTGAGCGGCGCTATATCACATCTAGTAACTTATCCACGATGGTCGTTGCCGTCCCCCGTAGCTCAGTGGTCTCAACCACGGACTGGCAACAGTCGAGTTGCGGGTTCGAGCCCAACCGGGGCCCGATGGAATGCGCACAGCTGACGATTCCCGAAAGGATGAAACGCACGTACAGTACTTTTCCGGGTGTGTGACGGCCGTCTGAGTGAGTGTAGATGTGACGAGAATCAACAAACACTTCATTCTAGAGATAAGAAATGCATCGTACACCCAACGTAAGAGATAGTGATGACAGGCGGGGATTATCTTCAGGCCACGGTACCGAGATATCTGAAAGCAAACAATCGACCGAACGGCAGAGCAATCGTGTTAGCAAGCTGTACAAAGCAGCACAAGCATATTGCAATAGCTTAACGGGAGAGAGGGACGGAAATAGAGCGATGACTCACCGTGTGCGCCCCATGTATCATGGTGGGGAATTCCCGGTCAATCTGGTACAACCGCGAAACGAATGCAACAGATCACAGACAGAACGAGCTCACCATGAAGGCTAATCCGGATGTCAACGGAACATTAATGCCAAGCTACCGGTAACTATGGTACAGTGGGCGTTAAAGTTCTATGGAAAGTCTGTGATATTTGAATAAATACGTTGGATCAAATTCACAACCCCCTAAGTAGGGGGCAACGGTCAAGACAGCCGGTGCATAAAGAAGGCGGACGCAACGACAGATGAGGCATACTGGAGAAGTGGGTGATAACTGTTGACTGAGGAAGCGAAAAATAAAAGCACATTTTGACTGAGGACGAGGCAAGAGGAGGCGGTTATTACAACCACCGGAGTCGAATTTCCCGTGCCAATTTTTCGCACAGGAGTATAAGAGGAATGCAACTGAAAAAGGTTTCAGGGCACTGTTGTCCTGCATTCGAGCAGGCACATTTATAGAACCGACTTAATACCTCTCAGTAAAAGGTCCAGATGAAAGGTGAGTTGCAGTATTTTGGCGGAACGTACCAGCAAAGTCGAAAAGATAATGGGGAGAAGTGCGATGGTGCAATTCGGTATTACATCCAAACCCAAAATATGAAGTGTGCGAAGGACCAGGAGAGTTATTCGCTTCAATTTCTTCCCGCTCAGATACAACGTACAGTGGAATAGATTACTAACTAATTCAGGTCTTGTGCAAATGCGAATGGAGTGTAAAAGTTATCTCGATCGGAACTCAATACTGAGCATGCTCTCATCTATGAATCACCAAGCTACTTCTTCTACAATGGACCGAAAAACATACAACCAGTGGGAACGCACAACAGTAACACAGTCCCATCACCAATAGAGGCTACGTGTCACATAATGTTTTAACAACACAGACATCACCGATACTTATCATATTCATGCGAGAGTATGAACAAAACTGTGCATAGCGATTCGTCCCCCTCACAAGAGCAGTCGCGCACCCAAGAGATACACTCTATTATTGTGAATATTCAGAGTCTAATTTGCAAGGAGTGTCGCATGTGCTCCATAAAGATCACCAGGTGTCGTTTACCGATACAGGCTAGGCGCATAGTATCCAATGACCAGGATAGGGTCTCCGATCATTCTGTAATTCAGACCAAGCTAACTTGTAAAACCACAGGTTTGTGTGTGTGTGTGTGTGTGTGTCGGAGAAAACTAAAGGTAAGGTCAAGAGCGTACTTGAGTAGTAAGTCGCTGCTGGGGACAGACTTAAAGCTTCTTTGAGTGTCGAAAGAACAGTGAAAAAGATATAGTTTGGTAAGCATGAGGAGGAAATTACGTCAATGACGGGAAGTAGCAACAGCGTGGTTGGTGCGCTGGTAGAACAGGACGAGGAGAACAGCAAGATAAAATCTGTTAGAAATGGAGGCAGAAAAAGCATATGCAACGCAATTAAAATTATGCCTATCAAAAGAGACGAAAAGGTGGCGGAGTTGGTTACAATCGGAAGTGGAAGGGGACCCGTGGAATGAAGCGCATAATTCAGGCGGTAAACGAGTTTCAATGCAAAAAGCGGTGCAACAAAGGGAAAAGATACGGCCAACGTAGAAGACAAGATGAGGAGCTGCTCAGTAGAGTAAAACGAACGGCGAAAGAGAGGAAGTGATTGCAATGAAATATTCATATAAGAACAAGTATTTTTACTTGAGAAGGAAAACTGAAAGGAACGCTCATGTAGGGAGCTCGGAGGATAACAGCTCAATCCGCTGGATAGAGGGTAAGCATTTATGACAGCGGGACCGAATGCAACGGCATCATTCACTCAGCGGCTAGAACATACGTGTGTGGATTTCCTATCACTGATGTGAACGATGCTTTGGCCTCATGTAAGAAAATAGCGATCACTAGCAGGATCCAAGCCTCAGGTAGGTTTATTTCACTCTTCCTGGCACCGTTACCCAATCGAACTGCTGTTTTGTTCGACCACATGCAGTATGAGAGAGCAGGTTAGCAGTATACATATCATGTACATAAGCAGTCTAGTTCACATCAGGCAATCACCCCGAATCCATAAAGGGGAAAAGCAAATATCAAAGCCGTAACATTGTCGTACGCCTGTGCTGTTAAATTTTCTTTGGCAGGCAGACATTTGTCCAGCGTTCCTCTCAGGTGAATCAAGTTTTGAACGGATATGTGAAGCTGGATAGGGCGCGCAGCAACTTCTTCGGGAGTTGGGTGGTGCGCTCGGTAAAGTGAGAAGAAGCAGTCATTCGATGAATCGGGCAATGGACGCAATGTGGGGCCCGTGTCATCACAGCTCCACGCACGCGGGATGTAGAAAAGCACACACGGAAGTGTGCAGTGTTCTTTAGTATGAGAGTCAGCAACATATATTTGGGAGTCGCATTCAGGTTGGGAACGTACTTTAATTTCTCAGCAAATTACTTGACAGAACATTCATTCAAGATAATAAGCGGGATATAAGAGTAGATTAAAAAGCCTCATCGGTACGCCGACACGCAGTACCGACGTTTCGCTAACGCGTAACCACCACCAGTCGCGTGTGAGCCAGGCATACTGCGAAGATCGTCCGGCCCCACTAGGCAGGCTAAAACCCGAGACCTCAGGATTACAAGGCAGGCTTGCGATGCTTAAGGCAATCACACGCCCAGAAAAGCATTTAGTCACGGCGGTCCCTACTGTCCCCGTAGCTCAGTGGTCCCAACCACAGATAGACAATAGTCGAGTTACGGGTTCGAGCCCCACATGGGTCAGATGAAATGCACACTGTTGACGATTCCCGAAAGGATGAAACGGCCGTACAGTGATTTTCCAGGTGTGTGATGGCCGTCCGAGTCTAGATGTGATGAGACTACTTATTTAAGTTCATAAAGCTGAACCCAACATTCAAATTGGCAAGTCCGAGAGTAAATCAGTTCTCGGCTGATGCTTGCTTTGAACAAGTCTTCCGAGCAACATTGGCTGTCTAGTGAAGCCGTGAGTTAATCCTCAAACCCACCTCAACAGGACGCGATTTTAGTGCCAAGAGCACTAAGCTAGAAGGACTGCCATGTGGTGGTGCGACTAGTAGTAATCACGTCTAGAACTCAGCACTGAAAAGAGATCGGTGCAATTCAGTACCCCCATAACAGGCGGAAAGCTATACGCTGTTGTCGTGGTTTGTGCACTGAAACGACAGAAAGCCTTGTCAAACCACGTGGGGTTAAGATTCAGTGGCGAATCTGGATCATGGTATCCGCAGAGCTCAGCGCACAATAACATCGTTCGTGACTAGTACCGTGTGCAGTTTTGACAAAACTCACGCGACTGTAGCCAACGCAGTTGGAAAACACGCACATCGTTCGGGCGTTTGCACTCCCACGTTTCAACGAGAATATGGCTTTTTCACCCCTGCGATGGAACAAAATGAGAGAAAAGGTCATCACTTAATGAGTAGACAGTTGGGAAACTGCAACAAGATTACGCTAGACCAGTTGGTTCAGTATGGAGAAGTAGAAAATGCGAAAAACATGTAGGGTAAGCTTAGAAATACTTCATCGACACACATGCGCTCGGTGGACAGTACATTGACGAAACTGAAGTCCCCACGACTAGATTTAGTCAAACGGATAATAATACCCGGAAGAACACAGTCACCCTAAGTAGTACCTATCCTATTGGGATGGTGAGAGTTCAGAATACGCGACTCTACGATTTGTAAGTAAAGTCTGAAGCCCATGAAATACAAACAGTACCGCCTGCCGATATGAGTAACTTACTTGTTGTGATATACTACGAAGCCATGCATAGGATAGGGTAACCCCCTGTCCACAAGAACAACGGCTTCGCAAACCGAAGTCACTAGTTAACCTATGGCATCATAAGCAGTTTCGCAAGAGGTTGATGGCAGTCCGGTTGAGAGTAAATGCAATGAATGCAACTTATGCCACTTAACCCACCTTTCTACGCTAGCCAACAGCGAATGCGATAAGCCGAGGGTAAAACACGAAACCTTAGTAGGTTTGTGAGATCGGGGGAAGTTGGGCACGGATGACTGCAACGGTGATTGGATTTATATGATAACGTCTTACGTCGTCGGCTCCGCATGCAGTGTTATGATTAAGATAGCACGCATCAGAGCTATGGCCAAAGGGGATTCACATCTGGTATGAGGAGATAACGCCTTATTATAGACAGACTTATCAAGTAAGTTGGTTCCAGAAGGGAGTAATATGAATTCGGAAAACACTGTAATAATCACCAGATAGATGGAGTGGAAAAAGCAACACCTCTCAGGTCCTCAGTTTAAAACGGGATCCACCTACAGCATATCCCAAACAACGTCTAACAACAAGAGAATAAATGGGATGTGGATAACAACTTTATAGACGGTCAGTGATAAAAAGGCCACGTGTCATCCATAAACCGTCCGCAAAATGGACATCTGCTCACCAAGCGCATTCAGACAACTAATGACACACGGTCGCGTGACAGGAAGCATTGGAAAAGAAACAGTTAACCAGTGAACGGATGATTACTGGCGAAACTGAAGGGTTGATTGAACGAAACCGCATTATCAACAATGGGAACTAGGCTGGTGCACTCACAACAATGCGTGCAGACAGTCATGTCTGACGCCTGCATGCATACGCTTGAACTGGGCCAAAGTTGGAAGGAGATGATGCTCCTCCAAGTTCAATCGAACTCGATCCTGTTCCCAAATCTCCAAGCGAACCACAACGATGATGATATTGAACGTTGCGAAGAGCTGCACGTGATGAAAGGTGAAAAGAGATAACTAGGAACTATGCAGGTCAAAGGCACAGACATAGAAAAGAGAAAAGTACGCGATAGTTCGGGTGCACATAAATAAACCTTTTGTTCCTCAGGCTGTCCAACAAGCGGGCAGGTGTTGGCTTATTTTGGGTTTGAATGAGACAGCTCTGATGGACAAGTAAAAACATCGTCCGTGTACCAAAGAAAAATTGTAGTCACCAACAGAACTGCATAGTTAAATCCCATGAACGCACTTGAGAATGGAATCTGCTTTCTCAAGAATGAGGCTATCAATAATGTTATATCTGCACTACAATGATGTGCTGTGTCAAGACAGCCCGAGATGCAAACCAAGAGCGCAAGTGTGGTTAAGCACAGTGGTCAGAGGAAGCAGAGAATAAGTAACACCGTAATCAACGTAGTGACTCGGACATGAAGTTGCAAGTGGTGGAACTGTCATGGAAAGACATAGTTGAGGCACAGCTTCCTTGGCAGCACCAACTAACGACACGAGTTAGTGTCATCTACCGGGGCGTGTGAGTGTGCATGGAAGGTGATTTTAAAGAAAACAGGCCCACTTGCGATAAATCCCATAGAAGACATGCGAAAGTACCAGCATGCTTTTGTACACTCGCTAGGCTGCAGCAGGACATACGAATGCGCGAGTATGTTTTCTAAGCTCGTCAGACTCTCAGATAGGTGGTAGGTATGGAGATAATTCGACCGGACGGACAACGACGAGCGTCTGTTGCAACTGTGAGTGGACTCCCGGCAGCTCTTAGCAGCACTGCCTTTAGATACACTGGGCGCTGGAGTGCCACCTGGCCCCACCTACAGCCGGCCAGTGATGGACCCAAATTGGTCAGGTTGCCATAAGTTACAAGTGGCGTGGTTCCATAATGAACTGTCCCGTGTTCTGGAAAACTTGCGTCGACTCCGGTCGTGCCTTGGTACGCAGCCATTTTTCCATGTACGCTACCAGGATACGTAACAAGTGCCTCCCTTGATTGGCAACAGATAAGTTATCTCAACCATCGGTTACGTAAGCCCACCAGAATGCCCTTCCTAATGAAGATCCGCTCACTTGTTCTAATGATACAGAGCTTCAATGCCTTAGGATCTCAGCCACTATGCACCATGCAGGAGCCTCCAATTGTGACACTATCAATCGTCACCGCATCAGCCACTGGATATCCGAGAGGTCAGTGGACCCGTTGCAATCCAAAAGAAAACTCCCGGCTTGCACTGAACAGACGGACTAAAGGATGGGAACTAAAGCGGAGATTGCGTACTGACAAGGAAGCGCCGTGAACCAGTCGGGCTCAAGAAAGGGAAGAGGCGGAGCAGCAGGCAATTATCGCAAGCTCTTCTAGTTGATCTACACCACTTGTCCCAAAAAACCAGGCTTCCGTGAGACAATCAAAGACAACGCGGGTGGCGTATGGCTCACTGGGCGGAGCACTTTCGAGTCGGTCCCCTGCTTCTGGATCCCTTACCACTCAGGTGATGCAGGCTAAGCCATGGCCGGTTAGCTTAGAGGCTCGGTCCAAGGCTGAAGTCCGAAATCTGATCAAAGACCTCCATCGCTTTCGAGCTGATGGACCGGATACCCTAGCATCCACATTATACTAGGATTGTGGTGTTTCTCTGCAAAGCATTGACCACCCTGTTTGGAAGGAAGATGCCATCCAAGTAAACCAGAGTAAGTAGATTAACGTGCCGACATAAAAGGGCAGTAGGACCGAGTGCATAAATACAAGAGTAGTATCCAAACACCGGTTGTGAAAAAATTATCAGCCTCAATTCTCCTTCGTCGCCTCCCTGTAGAACGGGAATCGCGGATGAGAGAAGAACAGGCAGGCTTCTGAACTGGACGGGGCTGTATAGACCACATATTCATTCTGCGGCAGATGCTAGAGCAGCGCCACACACACCACAGGCCGACAATAGCTGAATTCCTTGATTTCAAGAGTGTGTTCGATTCAGTCGACCGATTCATTCTGTTCGAAATATTTACGCAGAAAAGTATTCCCATGAAATATGTGAACATTTTACGTCCTCCATACTCGAACAACACAGGCCGAGCTAGGGTCGACAGTAATTGGTCTGATGCGTTTCCGACAAAAAGTGGCATTTGTCAGGGCTGTCCAAGTTCTCCACTTGTTCAACTTGTCGTGGACTGTAGCACAGAGTGTTGCCTTGCGGAGCCTTACGATGCATACGTCGAGATGCTGCCTGGTGAGAAACTAATTGATTTTGATTATGTGGACGATATTGTCTTGCACTTTAACGATGTTGGGATTGTGATGGGTGTCATACCAGAGTGAACGGATGGGCCAACAGAACGAGCCTGATAGACAATGGTCGACGGGTGTAACCGATTTGATTGGTGGACATGGATTGGCGGACATTCATGCGAGTTACTCATCGTTTATTTAACTGAGTCAAATGAAGTACCTAATTGCCTCAGAAGAGTCGTTAGTTGTGGACGTAAACGCGTAACTTTTATCGAGGAGAATGGCTTGCCAAGCGTCTTATAATTTGCGCCGAGTTCTCTTTATCGAATAGACGCTTGTCCCTGACTGGGTTCTGCAACAGGGGCGACCTAGTCAGCCGTTCATAAACTCTCAAGAGTGGTTCCATCATGAGGCATGCGTTTCGCACTGGCAAACTGCTAAGTGCTGTTAAAAGAACCGTCAGACATTTGATGAGCAATTGACAACTGATAACGAAAAACTCGTAGGTTGTCACCTTGTGGTGGACTAAAGGCATACGCTACTGCGCCGGTCATCAGTAGTGTGGAAGTGGCGGATGCGAAACGGCAACCACCAGGCGATAATGGCTCTCTCAAAGGAATGGAACACCTTGGAACCGCAGCTGTATGCGCGCGAGGGTTGGACGCATTAGCTATACACACCACACAACCACTAGACACAAAGAAACCGGCACTATACAACCTCTAACAAGACGCGCAAAGATGAGATGTTTCGTTGGTCAAAACCCATGCATCAAGTATAAGCCATATTTGGACCAATAGAAGTTCGCTTACAGCTCGGACTTACAAATTCACTAACCTTGGCAGCTGCATCAACAACGATGAGTACGTAAGCGAAGTCAGCTCACTTCTTGCGAGTTAGGACTGCCTTCTGGAACCAGCGACATCAGTGGAGTGTGCTTCGCTGGGTGTGCAAGCCCGTGTTTACTAGGCCACAGTAAAATCTGTCCTGCTCCATAGGGGTGAGACTTCGCAACTACGAACTGAGGCGCTTTCAAGTCTCTGAGCATCGCTATCTGCGGATCATTGCTGGTGTCGGATGGCATCAGTGTGTCAGTAAGGATGACGTGCACACGCGAGTGCTAGGCAGTGATACTCCTAGTATTTCCTTAGAATAGCAGATAGCACTGAATAAGTTGAGTTAGCATGGGCCCCTATAACGTGTGCCCAGTCATCGCTTACTGATGAGGGCTTTGTTTCTTTTGCCAGATGTGGGGTGGCGCAAAGCTTGAGATGGACAAAAATTAACTTAGTGGCGGAAAATGAAGTCACTGACGACCAAACTGGGTGCACTTGGTCTGTCGTTTTCCAGATTGGATGCCACGTGACCTTGCGTCTGGCTGGAGACGTTGCGAGACATGACTCGTAGTCGACACAAGTGGTGTGTCTGCTGGCATCTCCTAGCCGGACCGCCTGTCTAAGGTATGTATGCTGCTGTTCTCTGCGGGGTAATGGACCATTATGACGGCACAGTGAAAGCAACAATGAAGCTGTTTCTCCTGTACCACATTATCCTCGCATGATAGCCATCCGTTTGTGATGGTATGTTATTGACAAAATATAGGCGCCTTGACAATGGGTGTTTGTTTAGGACGCTAAGTTTGCATGCTAGTCTCTCTTCTCTTTCTTTTATTACTCCTCGTGCCTTAGATCACCGTAGATGAAAAGCAGTGAAGCATCATTCCTTCGCTACGGTACTTGAATTAAGGACAAGAGACGAGTAAAGCCGTATACGCCTACCGGTCGCCCAACCAGAAAATAAAAGAAGCAAGGTGGTGCAATGTCCCAAGCAAGGTACTTCTTTCTTGGAAACAAGTGTGCAATTCAGTCGCAAACAAATACGCACGCACTGAAACCCGTTCGGCTCAGCTGCTCCTCACTCAACCGCCTCATACATTTTCCATGTCATTGCAGTTGGACACGGCGGGTGAGCCTATGGTGCTCTGAGACTAGTGGTGGCTAGATCTTGACAGATGGTCTACCCACTGCTGCTACTGTTGTGCCATTGGCTCATGTCCTGGATGCCTCCTCGTGTCGACCGCTGAATGGGAGTTGGGTTTCGCCCTTATCCCTGCTAAGATCAAGGACACCAATCCGCATGAGTCGGCTAACTGACCATGTGCTAGACCCGCTGCCTTTCGGGTGTTCATTTAATCGAAGGCTTTGGCTGAGGATCCGAGTCGTTCTCCTGTCAACTGTGAGCGTCCCGCCAGTATCCTAGTCCATCCTCTTCGGAGGTTAGGAAGTGGTCGATAGCCCTCTTCCCGTAAAACATAGCCATGGGAGACAACAGGTCTACGGGGTTTAAGCTCATAGCTCGATCGGCGTAGGGCATAAGCGCCACACATTGTCTTTGACGGTGGGATAGCACCTCCGGGTGTTCACAAGTTTGCTACTGCTCGCCTCAAGCCAAACAACCCCTGGTCAAATTGGTGCAAACCCACCAAAACCCAACTGCGTCTGGCCGTGGTCGCACGTGCGTATCCTACTACGGTCGCAAAACATATATAAATGGTTCCAGTACCACAAAAGCCGCGTGTGACGGCCGTCAAACAGATCCCAATCAGTCTCTGCAATCGCATTCTCGAACTGGATCTGCTTCTCACTGCCTTGTGGGTCAGGCTATTGAGCCAAAGGCACTGGGCAGAGTCCCTCAAGCAAACCTCCAAACAACCCACTGCCTTGTGCGTCAGGCTATTAGACCAAAGGTTCCGGGT